AAGTCATTAAATTTTAATTTTACAATCATCCCCGAGTGGTGTTATCGAAAATATTTATGTTTGTATTAATACGATTGTGGTTCATTACGCAAACATGCGCCGACTGAACCGCCAATTAAGGTGAAATTACAATAAAACCGGCATTCATTATTATATTGATTGGCCAAATAAAATGTACCATTTACGCACATAAGTATTGCACTACTATAAACTATATTATGTATTCGATATTCTGTAAATCCAAATCGCCATCAAGTTTAGTTTTATTTATTAACAATATATTGGAGCATTGCATAAACAGCATTTGATAGGTACGAGACAGTTAAGTATTTAGCCAAAGGTTCATTTTGAACACACTTATTAATAAATAATATTTAACCATCTGACGTTGCTAAAAGTGGTCGCACTACTGGTCGAGCTTTTTAAAATAAAAATTATTAAATAATCAATAGCACCTGTGACTCTGCTGTCTGCCGCTACTAGTTTAGTAGTGCTTTCAATATGAATATAATTTTATATTAAAACAAGCACACGAAGAAATTACTTTTCAAAAATGTTACTAATCGCGGGCTTTATAATAACCTCAGCAATATAAATCACAATCAAACACGCCCGCGGCGAGCGTTGAACTCTTCATTATAACGCAGTGCGCGGGAGTACGTTCTCGTCAAGTTGAAAGGTGCATTAGCGCGAAATAACACGTAGCCACGAAAATTTCAATTAAGTTTAATGCACACGTCTCTCTCCCTCCCTACCCCTCCTTATTCACCCCCACACATCCTACACGCAATTTATTAAAACATATTACAAAATCTTGATGAGTTCTCCAATATAAGCCTTACATAAACTTAAACTCTGTTTGACTATAGGTAATTGTGTAAAATATCCCAAAATACTTGTGCAGATTTAAAATTAATGTTTAACATTTAACATATACATTATATATACATACTCGTAGTTATATACTTAGGTACTTATTTCGTTAATATATTATAGCACAGCATATAACTTAATTTTACATTTCTATTAATTTTTAAATAAGTTATTAAGCAATTAATCATATTTAGTTTATAATAAGCAATCACATTTTAATGCGTTTAAACGCTTTTGTCGAAATAGAGACACCTGTTAGGGGTATTTTGAAAAAAATCATAATTACTACTCAAGATCATTGACTACAATAACTGTCAGGACCGCACTAAATATTGTTTGTTGAATGCCGGTTATATTTTTATGCCGTTCAACACCTTGAGAGATTATAAAAGTATACCAGTAGTAAGAGCCAGGTGCCAACTCATAAGTTATAAGTCTTTTAAATATGATTACAACTTATTATTAAATGAAACCGACTTTCACATTGTTTTTATTGATCAATAGATGATAAAATTATTTCCATTACGTACAGCGAAGTTATGTCTCTATTATTAAAAATGTTCTTATTATAAAGGTATTTTGTCCTAGGTTTTTTAATGCAAGCAAACGGTTAATTTAATGAATTTTCATAAAAGTTTCATAATTAAAACATAATGAAGTCACGTAATCTGCCTATTTGCAACCTATTACAGCTTAGTATAAATATTTTATGTATGTTAGTGGGAGGAAACATAATACATAGGTAGGTATAGAAGGTATGAATTTATAATATTATGAACATCCATGTAACAAACTATCTTGCAAGTTCATAAAACTGGCATTGCCATAAAACCTAATTATCTTTCCACCTTGCTCTTGACGTAAGTAACGAAATTACTAGTATGTTATAAACCTTATTAGACGCTTATAGTTCCAACTATACCCATTAAACTGAATGAAATAGTCATTTCTCAACTTCCTCATAATAATATTCGATTAACAGAAAAACATGCAAATAATTTTTATGGTCTAGCAATAATGTCGATTAATTTACAGCTTAAATAGTGACCTACAATTTACAAAGATGATTCAACAGTATATTAAATATTTATGACAATGTAACCTTTACCAGGAATACCCATTACTAAAATGCAATTATGTCTTAGAGGTCACGTTGTATTTTTCCAATATGATCCTTAATATAAGGGCAATAAAAGCTTCGAATATAATCGTTTAGTTTGTTCACTTCACAGATATTTATTAGTACGACTCGTCCAGCGACATCGGTCGGTAATTGTCAAGTATTAAAAACCGATAAAACGCTTAATGTCGCGAGTGATCGCTCAAATTGCGGACGCCGACAATTAACATTGACGTGCCGATCATGATATCGATTCTGAATATTTACGGTAAAATATATCTATACAAAGTTATATTATTGTAAATATACCTTACGGTTTAATGTGTTACTCTTAAAGGATTGTCGAATACATAATTATCAAAAAGAGGGAAAAATCATGATTTTGTATAGGGATTTTAGTACATTTTTAACTTATATAAGTTTACTGATTTATGTTTTTTAATAATGTTGCTAAAATAACATGTTTACCATAACCTTACTAAGTGACAGCTTTAAAATATTTGGGTATTCCTTATTGTACCTGAAGTCCAACAAACATAAATCGTCAACCAGTTAGGCTCTAACAAAGTCAGCAGTAAAATGCTTGCTTGTAAATCAAAATGAATCGAAAAAATGGAGTATAAATAAACCAGGACAGCCTGACACTTTATTTTCTCGAGCACTGGTAGTGAGGTGACGACATCGACATTAAAGATGGCAATAAATACATATAATTTAGTTTTTATTACCATTTATAATTGGAATTCTATTTATTATTCTTTACGTATACAGCTAAGAAAAATCATTAAAAGCAATACGTACTTAAACTTATTAATGTTGAAAACAGTTAAAGTTAATATATGAAATAATGTTAATATGTATATGAAACTTATCTGTTATTTAAGATTTTATTCTTATAGAAAAACATTCATTCGAACAACACTATTTTCTTATTCGATATGTGTTATTACTTAACGTGGTCCCGGAAAGTGAGACCAATAAATTTATGACACATTTTTAGAGAAACAGAACCTCTGACTGTTATTTTAAATAAAATATTTCTTTATATTTTTTTAATAAACCTATTAGAGATAGAGGGCGCGTGGTAGATCGGCAATGAGATCGATAGACCGTGTCAGAGCAGCAGTAGACGTCCCACTGCATGAATGTGCAAGAAAGACAAATAGGTACCTACTAGAGACGAGTGGAGGAAAATAGTCGAGCTGGTTACAATACCTAAATAATGACCACGACCAGTCAAGACTGTAATGGCATAGAAGATAAGATATTCTATAATAATACTAATCCTAATTTACTGTAAAATATATATCATACAATAACAATATATTTTATTAACTGCTTTTTAAACATTTATATTGAAGCAATGATGTCTTAATAACATTTATTTGGAATACAAAAAATTAATAGATAAAACATTGTAGAGCAATTTACAAACACGCTCCGCTACCCTCCCTGATAAAATTTGTCCCCGATATAACATTTTGATTGGACTGTTTGATTTATTTCTTGTTTAGCTATTAATGGAGCGATTACAAAATCTTGATACTTGTTTCAAATAAAATTATACTTTTTTAAATAAAACACCTAGTAATATTATAAATGCGAAAGTTGGTGAGGATGTATGGATGTATGGATGTATAGATGTATGGATGTTTGTTACTTTTTTACGCAAAAACTACTTAATGGATTTTAATGAATCTACAACAATGTAGCTCATACATCAGAATAATACATAGGCTACGTTTTATCCCGGAAAAATGTACGATTCCCGTGGGATAGATCTGTTTATATAATAAATATGAACAACGGTGTTGCGCTGGCAGCGTCGTTTCTTGGCACTAATTCTAGTAAACAGATTGCAGTTACGACTACGGTCAAATGTTATTAGTTATTTTATACATAGAATATTAATATACTTATCTAGTCTTATTGAAAATAAATGTTATTTACTTGTCTCATTATGGCTACAGAAAAAATCATTTTACCAAATGGTAAATAGAAAACGCTAAAGATAATATGTGACATTTAACTATGATATCCATTTAAAAATATACAATTACTATGGTAGAAATAGATTTTTTTTATTTCATGTATCAAAATTGGCTGCTCACATCGTTCGCAATCAGCGTAACAATAGAGACATTACCCCCGAGATTGAATTCTCTTCGGGCTACTGGCTGTGATTTAGATAACTGCACTTGTTGCGAGGGGGTGTAACATATGACACGGGACTAATACGGGTCTATAAGCATTAATTACAACTGTTTTGGACCACGTTTTAAAGATACTGAATATTTTATTTATCACATTTATCTTAGTATTGATATTATCATATCAAACTGTTCTGTACGTCAAGTAAATAAAAAGTTTTTCCAGTAGTTTATTTACATATATTGGATCTAATAAAACGTGTAATTTCGAAGGGGTAATAAAATCGTAGCTGAATTTATATTAAAATGTATACATGTTTCTTTACCGTATCAAAAGTCAATTATGTCAGTGTCTCCCTGTCCTGAAGAGACTTGTTCATGTCAAAACGCAACAGCCCGGGCGCCCCGAGCGTACACAATGCCAATTTTCCGCTCACCGCCACCGACTACGCAATTATTTAGATAAACCTCTCGGCGTGACTATAAAAACATCTTCCCCTCCCCCAGAGCGCAGTTTTGTTGTCTTTGGGGCTTTGTGAATTTATAGCCCGGCATTATGCCGACGGTTAGGATAAAAATGTACTTTTAATTTATCTCGTTAAAGGGTTGAAGGACGACCGGGTTCGCGAAGTAATTATTCCAAAATTGGCCACTTTATCTGATTAATCCATTTCATACCCTTTGTTAGGGCGATTATGGAGTGAACTTATTCTGCCGACTGCGCTCTTTACGAAGTGAAAGATTACATTAAGTTGATGAGGCAAGCTATCATTTTCTGCTTGCTTGCGCTTTTAAAATAATATGGGAACCGCTATTCAGTAACTAAGTAATACATGTGAACTTTATAGAAAACTTACCTTCCAGTTTTTGTTATAATCATCTCAGTGCCTAAGTCATGGAATTTGTCCCATAGCTCCTTAGTTTCTAGTTGGCAATCGACAGATAGGAGTTCTTCACAATTACATGAAGTCACGGGAGGTGCCATCGGTCGCGCTGGTGACGGCGTGTCTCTCTCACCCAATTCTGCGATAATTAAGAAATTAAAGGTAAATCTTTTATCTAAAAATACAACGAGGAATATATCTATCTATTAACTTGCATACTTACATCATACTTAAAATACACAATTACCTTTCAAACTCCAAGACATTGATTTAAACTTGTAATTTTAATAAATTATCTTTTATAGAAAGCAGGAACAATGAACGTCTAGACAAATAGGAATGTGACAATATTATAATTTTCTATGCGCTTTAAATCATCGAGACATAAGAACGCGGTGTGAACCTAAACAACAGTATGAGAATTCTATTTTATTATGTTAATAACGTGTTGTAATCACAACTTCAATTTACTTTTTGCGTCACAATGAGTGAATATAAATGTATTGTATGTCAAAAGTGTAATTACTGTTATGCATTTTATACGATTTCAAATCATAGAGAGATAGCCAGCCACTCTTAACAATAACGGAGTATTTATAAGTTCTTATGAGTAAAAAGTAGATCGTAATTTGAAGATAAAGTTTACGACCTTAAGTCTTGTTATAACATGGGTACGAACGCGTGTTTGATGGTTTATATACATATATTAGATAAGAAATAAAATCGTATTCCTAGATATAACGATAAGCTTTCCAATAGGTATATAAAGAAATACTATTTGTAAAAGTGTAAAGCTGTTTGTTTGATAAATTTTCTTTCACTTTAATTTTGTAACTTTATAGAATATAATAAAATAATGAAAACAATAATGAGCCGCTCTCTATTTGCCAAGCTTAAACTATATCGAACAATAATGCTTTTGCAATAACCGACTCCCCCATGATCATCAGAACTCTCCAGTTCAGATAAGTACGATCTTTCTGTAAATAATTTCGTTAAATGGAAGCTCGTTTCCTGTGTGAAAGGATAAAATAAAGAAACATACGTAGGCAATTATACCATTAAGTAATAATATACCTACTACTTAAAATTATTTAAAATTCACAATCATTGTAAATATTAAAAGAAAACGAATAGTATCAATTAAACGTGCCCACCTGAAGAAGGTGCCGCAGTGTCAGACGCGTCCCGTTCACCATCTGAACACTGTTCCACGTCAACTTCAACATCTTCATCCGGCACAGGCGACCTACAGCTCGAGGCCGGTGAACTAAGAGATGCAGGTGAGCTTTGTCTGGATGATGGACCTGAGTTAAAAGTAACAGTAAATATAATAATATATGTAAGTATTTGTCGAATGTTGTTATTTATAGTTACAAATTACAATTTCTACAAAACAAGTTTTATATATCTGCTTTATATATCTGCAATATAACGCTCAAACTTAACAAACTAGTGTCCAACGGACAAACGCTAAGAAAAAAAAGTTGGTAAAGAGATGATAGCCCATTAGACATAGAACGTAGGACGTAGATACCTTACCACCGTAAACCATTTTCCAAACCACGTTGGGAGGAGATATTTTGTTACTATCGCTAACTAGATACAATTTATACACATGATAAAAGTGTAACTGATCGCTGTATATACATTGAAGATATTTGAGAAATAGTATTATTTGGGGTCTTTACTAAAGCAAAAGAACCCAAAAAAAATATTTTTAGAATTGTTATCTGTTTGTATGTGCGTTTGGACATGCTAATCACAGAAACAGCTGCACCGATTTGGGTGTGGTTCTCACTAATGTATTATGGTAAACTACACTTAAGATTTAGTATTTGTTTTATTTCAATCGGTCCGTAAATAACAAAGTTATGTGAATTTAAAGAATCGCCTTGGGACGAACCCGAGCGAAGCGAGTGTGAGACGCTAGTATAAAATATAACTATATCCGGGAACGTTTGTTTATTTATTTTTATTATATTATTAAACATTAAAAATTTTAATAAACTTTTTGTGTTATCTTGTCAAATTTATTTAGATTAAAATTAAAGATAATTAAACTTCTTAATTTGAAGTTTTAATTAAGAAACAAAGTTAATATAAACACAGCTATGAAGTAAAAAATATTCAGCGTAAATGTATCGTTAATTCTACAGATTTATTATAGTAAGATGATTTTATTGTAATACAATCGTTAAAATTTCACACACATTTATACAAATAAGTATATAAACTAAGAAAAAACCCATATAAATATTTTTAGCTTATTTAAATAATTATAACTTAATTACTCTAAAGCAAAGTATGAATAATAAATTACTTCGAAAAGAACACGAAGAATGACATTACAAACTAAAAATAAATATTAATACCTACATCATGGGAATCTTTCTTTATTTTCAACCGGCTTCTTCAAAAAGAGGAGGTTCCCAATTCGGCTGTATGCTTGTTACATCAGAACTTCGTCATTTATTAATCCCTTAACGATCGCGGACACGCCGGCGTTACAGTTAACAATAGATTTCTTAGAAATTTAATTAATTTCTTAGAAATTTATCTGGAAGTGTTAACCAATTTGGACTATTTTTTAAGTTTGTCCCATTTTGATTTGAAAAAAAATATAAGTAAACTCTAAGGGTGAGAAAAATAGCTAATGAACATTTTACCTACTTCTAATTATTATCATATTGTCTTGAAACTTTATAAGTGTTTCTATTTCCGTTGATAGTGCAGCAATTCGATATCGCCGAACTGATTTGATGGTAAGGCCAGAAGGTGGATAGGTTAACTCTTCAACGACTAATAGTAGATACTTTGAGTTTTGGCTTATCAACCGACTTCAAAAAGGAGGAGGTTCTCAATTCGACTGTATTTTTTTATGTTTGTTACCTCAGAACTTCGTCATTTATTAACCGATTTGGACAATTTTTGTTTTGTTTGAAAGGGTATACTTCCAGATTGGTCCCATTTAAATTAAAAAAAAATACCACCCCTAAGGGTGGAAAAATAGCTAATGATGAATTTAACCTGCTTCTAATTGTCATATTGACTTGAAACTTTGCAAGTGTTTCTATTTCCATTGATAGTACAGTGGTTCGGTATTGTTGACCTGATCTGATGGTAAGGCCAGAAGGTGGATAGTTGGAACTCTTCAACGACTAATAGTAGATACTTTGAGTTTGGGCTTATTTTGTTTGATTTGACAAGCCTAACACTTCAGAATTCTTACTTTGCTACTACTGTCTACACTAAAAAAGGAAAAATAAAAACTTTTTAACAAATAAATAAAAACCGACTTAAAAAAATGCACTAAAAAGTAAAAAATAACTGATTGGTACTTTTCATTTACTATACATACCTAATCAAATATTTTCGAAGTCGGTGTGCTTTGCTTTGTATGGGCTGGCACCGATTTCGAAAATATTTGATTAGGTATGTATTTAATAGGTAGGCTTTAATTACTTAGCCAAAGCACACCGACTTCGAAAATATTTGATTAGGTATGTATGATAGATGAAAACTACCAATCAGTTATTTTTTACTTTTTAGTGCATTTGTTTGAAGTCGGTTTTTATTTTTTTGTTAAAAAGTTTTTTTTTTTTGATTTGACAAGCCCAATTTGTTAGAATTGGATTGTAGAGCCAGATTTTTTTAGTGTTAATAATAAAAGTGAATTGTAGTTTGTCAGTCTTCATACAAAAGTTGGCATCAAACTAACTTTAATGGCTTAAGCGAATATTTTATTAAAATACTTTTTTCTTACTTTGCTACTACTATATCTACAATAAAAAGAGAAAAAAATCTTTAAAAAAAAATAAAAACCGACTTCAAAAAGAGACAAAAAAGTAAAAAAATACTGATTGGTAGTTTTAGCTAATAGATACCTAGTCAAATATTTTTGAAGTCGTTGCCAGCCGATACACAAAGCACGCCGACTTCGAAAATATCTAATTAGGAATCTATAGTAGGTAAATGAAAAGTACCAAATAGTTATTTTTTACTTTTTAGTGGTTTTTTTTTGAAGTCGGTTTTCTTTTAAGTTTTTATTCACAAATTAGTTTACCTTATCATGTCAATATCAATAGGTAACAAAATTGAGAGTTATAGACACAGACTATATTTTTATCACTTAATGTTATTACTTTTATTGTCCTACGTTAGGGGTATCTAATACCTACCTATTTGCGCTTCCATTTTATTCTTGTTTTTATTACTTATACGTTCATAGCCTGCCTCAAGTAATGAATTATTATTGATTATACATAAATAAATATTCAAAAAGTCATGTAAAATGTTCAGGAGCATGGCAAGAGTGTAATTGTCAACTTTATTGGCTGCTCACAACGAAAACAGCATAAAACTAAACATTCTTAAAATAAAAAAAAAACGCCTGATCCGTGGTTAAATTTAATATATACATAGATATAACAAAAAATAAGATACAATTAAATTGATGAAACCGTATGGTCGTATGCTGATTTCAGAAATAACAACTCCATTTTGCTCTCCACTATTTATTGTTACTAGAAAGAGGTAAAGTTTGTAAGCTTGAATGTAAGGAAGCGCTATATCTAAAACTACTGATCTGATTCTGAAAATCCTTCCGCTAACAGGAAACTACACTACCGCCGAGTGCTATTGATTATTTTTTATGGCGATAAAAATGTGTTTACTAATATAATAACTTTAATTGAAATCGGAAATTGGCCGCTGAGTTGTTTTATCGGCGTGCGCTGCCTAAGTGGTATGAAATAAAGCAATAAAATGTATGGCAAAAAGACTCCTAGGGACGCACTCAAGCGTAAGCAAGCTATATATAGAACCAACAAAACATGAGGAATATCACAAATCTTTCTAAGAATATATCTACTACGAGAATCACGCACTCACTATGATAGTTATACTTATTAAGTTATTAAGATGCTCATGCCATTATTCTTAGATTTTATTCCTCAACCATAGGTCTTTATTTCATTTTTTTTTAATTTAATAGGTAGGTATACTATATCTGGCTATTACAAATCTTCTTAATATATAAAATTCCCGTGTCACGATGTTGGTCCGGGATGAACTCCGAAACTATTTATCCGATCTAAACGTACTCATTTTTCAAAATATGTGGTTTGTTCCAACTTAAAAGATAGGGTAGTTTTTATCCCGGTTATTTCCTTTTTTTATTGCCAAATTTACGATTTTCATATGTTGTCCCCTAGATATATTATAAAATGACTTACGGTTAATCCCAATAGGAATATAGGTATTATAATATATAATTTGTAAGGAACTTATGTCAAACATAATAACTTGTTTTCATCATTAGTTGTTTTGTTGTTGTTGTTTTGTGTTGTTACTTACGAGTAGGTATGACTAATATCTATCTAGTAAGAAAGATTACTGATAGATTATTGAAATCCGCCATTAATCATACAAACATATATTTTTATTAAGTAAGTTAATAATTGTATGGTAGGTAATGTTTTTATCAATTTGAATTTACCATTTATGGGGTGCCTCTATGTCTATCAAACATAAGTAAGTACTTACATGTAATTAATGTAAGCCAAATAAAAATATATTTAATAAAAAGATATAGTAAAGTAATTTTTTTTATCTATATTATAATTGTATCCATCAAATTATAATAAATAAACATCTTTTCTGACAATTAGATTTATCAGTAATACCTACTAGGTAGAATGAGATAGAGTACTTTTTTTTTGTTTTGATACTTAGTTCTCCAGAAAAATGATAAGACAATGTGAAGCAAAAATTTTACATGCATAGAGTTCAAAAGTAATTTATTATATAACTAGGTACGTTTTAATTTTTTTGAGCGGAACCCTAATTCTTTTACTGAAATAAAAGTAGCTTAAGTTAGGTACTCCTTATAACATCAACTACCTGCCAGTGAAAGTCCCGTCAAAATCAGCCCAGCCGTTTCGGAGATTAGTCGGAACAGATAGACAGACAGACAAGACAAAAATTGAAAAAAATGTGTTTTTCTTATAAATACCGTATAATATATTCTATATGTATTAGGTATAAAACTGATATTCTGACATTACAAACAGACATTTCAATTTTATTTATCTGTATAGATAAATTTCAAATTAAAATAAGCATTTAAAAACGCTTTCATAGCTAAATTAGTATTTAAAATATTTGAACTTGTAACAAATATTATATAATAATTAATAATATTATTTACATATTACGTACGTAACCTACATGTACCTAAGTATTACCTATGTATCTATGTAAAGATTGTGTGTTGTTTAAAATATATATATCTTAAACAATTTTTTTCATAAAAAATAATTGTACAATACATGTAGGTACATGTATTTTATTAAAAAAATCTTGTATTTATAGAATATTTCTAAATACCGTAATGCATAACCCAGAGTCAGAGTATGATTTATCACTAAATTTAACTACGTCTAATAAGAAAATAACAAAATTACATTCATTCATACACATACATATATGTCATTAAAGTAATTTTCCTATACTTAACTGTGGCAACAAAGTGAATATTAACTATTATTACGTATTATTTCGTGGATTTATTTTGATTTTTGGTTCCCGACGTTTCGAATGCTTTACAGCAGGCATGATCACTGGAGAGACTAAGGTTTTAGATGTCGGTATTATATATACTTGTTACAGACAGTGCCTACCCACAATTTTACAAAATAATTTCAAAAATTAAAAAAATTGCACTAAAGTACCTTACAATATTTTATGATTTTAATTCTAAACAGTTTAAAATTTTAATATGTATTATAATCAAATATGGCAATATTATTTATTTAAGTTTGGCTGTTATTATTATAAATCTTACAATTTTATTTTAAATGTCAAATATTCGCGTATTATTACGTATTTAGATTTTGGTGTTTTAAATAAGTTTTTAAGGCAATATGTTATTCATAAAATTGCACAATTACTTGGGAATTCAAGTAAAATTGTAATTCGATTGTAAATAGCGTGTCCCACCGGTCGGGTAGTGTAGACCACGTTCGGTTCCGCGCAATTAATCCCGAATAACGAACGGCAACACGACGCTTGCGCTGCGCCAGCGCAGACCTCACCAATTAGCAAGCCCTTCGGTTTCCAGAACCATGTTTTATTATACTTCGGAGAAAGGAATTTAGAACTAACTCCACTATTGCATTTAACCCAAACAAATTAAAAATAACTGAACAAAATAAACGCTTACACCAACAATTAAGTGTTATTAAGTTTACACTAATATTGTATCATAAAGTTAATAATAACTAATTATATATTAAGGCCTTAAAATTGAATTAAACATATTACACACACAGTTTATTATTCCACATCATTACTTTTTAATATACACTAAAATATCTATGATCGAAATGTAAATTTTAGTTTCAAAGATAATAGATTTATTATCTAACAAGGTTAAAGTAAACAAAAATATAAGTACCTTTAAAGGAGAAATAGCGCGTGGATAGGATAATGATAGTAGGTAGGTACCTACCTATTCATATGAGATTTTTACTTATAATAAGTATAGGTAGGTACTCCAACAAAAAACGATGGATATACATTTTAAAAATATCATTTTCATTTTAAAATGAGTGACAAACATGGTCAAATGATATACAGTAGAAAGAACGGTAAATGGAAATTAAAGACATAAAACCACTATTAAAGACTTTTTATTTTACTTAAAGAAAGTCTGTGTGTAAGTCTAAAAACTCTAAGAAGTCTAAGAAGTGTAGGTAGGTACCTATGCATGGGGAGAATTGGAAGAAACATAAGTGGTATGTAAAGATAGTAGAGCTTAGAGACGATCATTTTTGCCTACTTCACAAGGAACCTAGCGTGAAGATTGATTAGGTATATTAAATTACGACATTTCTAGACAAAGGTCAAAAAGAATAAATGACTGATGAGCGTCATGTACCTTTCTAGCTATTCTATTTAACCATTCTTCTTACCACATATTTCCATTTCTATTACACAAATATATGTTTATCATAAACCTAATCTAATTAAGAAATTAAATGACGCTACAAAACCACAACCCACGGTAAAATAGATGGAAATTCTTAACCCTACGGTGAAATAGCGGTTGGATATTATGTTATTATTTGCATTTATAGTGTTATTTGTGAATACATACTAATACCGTCGGATATATTGACGACACGATACATTTCTAATCATTATTTGTATTTTTTTTTATATACAAATAAAAAAAGGCTAAGGCAGTGGTAACCCAGTGGTAACGCGCTCTTTCGCGTTGGGAAACCGAAGCGGGTTCAAATCCCGGGTCATGCACCTCTGATATTTTCATGTTCGAATCCTTTCTAATATGATTACCACTTGCCTTACGGTAAAGGAAAACATCGTGAGGAAGCCTGCGTGTCTGAGAGAACCTAGCAAGTTTTCGAAAGACATATGAAGTCCGCCAACCGGCACTTGGCCAGCGTGGAGGACTATGGCCTGATCCCCCTCGTACTGAAGGGAGACCCGTGCCCAGCAGTGGGACGATAAAAAAGGCTGAATACAATACAAATAAAAAACAAATAATTAAAACATACAGATATGAATATTCAAAATATTATTTTACGGAAACCCTAAACTTCTTATCTTAACTAACTATACACAAGACATATCTATAGATTGTTGTTGATTTCTTCTTGTACTGTATATTTCTTTGTGGTGTACAATAAAGTATTTATCCATCTATCTACCTAGATCTAATGGGATAGGTATATCAGTTTTTTTTTATATTTACCTATATATTATATATGAATTTATACCATAAGTGCACATTATACAATAATGTATTACATAATACATTATTTTTTGTACTAGATATTTCTTAATTAGTTTAATTATCGAAATCTTATTTATAGTTTTTAATTACTGTGATTAAATCCTAAAGAAAATAAAAATTCGATATAGGTACCTAAATAATAAATAATTTATTGTCGGCACAAAAACCCGTATGTACAGAGAAAAAATAATAAAAATGACAGTTAAAATTAATAACTACTATTAAATAATATTTTTTCTGTATTATATGTTATATGATATATTCATACTGTCTGAACATATGGATTTTAACCTATTTATTACATAAACCTGAGTGAACACTTAATATCTATCTATACATTAATACATGAAGCAAAAACTTCGTACTTACTCCTTTTTACGAAAATTGGGCGGACGGAAGAGTATAAAATTTCCCACACTTATAGTTTATGTATAGAGAAGGATTTTTTTTAATTATGCGTAATAAATACATTAAATTAATAAAAAAAACATTACACACACTACCATGTATTTGATACACACACGCATATATACTCTTTTGTTTATTGTTAAAGTCTGTGGTCAAATTGATAATTATGTAATTGTAAATAATGTAAATTAATACGTGAATCAAAAACTTTGTATCCCTTTTTAAGAAAATTACGCGGACGGAGGATTGTGAAATTTGACACAGTTAAAGTTTATATGGAGATATAGTGTCAAAAGCTAATATTTTTATATAAAATACATTAAATTAATTAAAACATTTTTTTTGTGAATCGATCTATTCATTTTTGTTTTAGATTAATAGCTATTGATAAGCTTTAGTTTTATAAATAAAAAAAAACAATAATAATCATGGTCGAATTTCGACCACTCGGCAAACTCTAGTTGAAATAAAAACTTATTTAGTTTTATTCACTCGTAATACGCATAGGATGTATGTTGATATAAAAAGTATATCCTACTAAGAGATAGTGTAGTTTTCTATTAATGAAAGAAATTGTTCAATAGATAAATATTAAATATAAAATAACCCATAAGTACGAACGGAACTCGTATGTGTTGTATGTTTAAACAAAAAATAAAATATTAGCGATTTATAAAAGTATCTGTAAGATTTGAGTTTTGTTGATTCAACTATTAAAAAATTTGGTCATCTAGGTATACTTACCTATATCATTTGTAAAAAACATTTATTAACCAAATTGAAGCAAGTATTCTTATATTAGTAATTTAATTTCTTAACGACAATTCTTCCAATAAATATGGCAAAATAAGAAATAACCAAAACCAGATTTGCGTAAAACAATCTGACAGAACTTGATTAAGTATTTTATAAAATATTAAAATAACAAGATAACTCCAAAACATGATGTATATAATAGATAAACAAAACGCTACTTCTGTATGTCTATGTTAGTATTAGATAGAGTCTAGCAAACATAGTTTTACTGCAAAATTTAACTAAATTATATTAATTAGCAATTTAATTATTGAAATAAGTAATAATATTTAAATTGCCATAGTGTAAAATTTTTAAATACTGCACACATTCATCTAGCTAACACGAAACATGGTCTGTCGGGAAGAGTAAAATCATCTTTTTAAACAGCATAATAAATGCTCGGAAAAAGGATTTTCCAGAAGTTAGAAACTTAGGCCTATCTTACCGAGAAATGGCGGCGACCTAGCGACGGGACTGCGCGGCTGCTCTGCGCTGCGGGCCATGATGGCCGCGATGGAGAAGTCCGTGGCCCGAGTCTTGCCCTCCTCCGCCACCATCCTGGAACCCCACCCTTCCACATCCATCAACACTTAGTACTCCAGTTCCAACTTCACCGTTTCATTCCGTCCGACACATCGTCTTTTACTAATAACTATAGATATACAAGGAGCAAATTAAATAAGGAATCCACAATAAATTATTTTTTAACACATAATTCTGGTTTGTGACACGAGCGTGATAGTAGAGTCGTGATAGTCCGTCGTGATAGAGCTGGCATGAAGGCGATAGACACGAGGGATGGCAACGCGGCGGTCGAGCGCGGACTGAGCGCGCGGAGACGCGGCGCGAGCGGGGCGGGGCGCGGGGCGGGGCCGCCTCCCCATCCACCACTGGCCGCGGGACCCGCTGTCGCGCAGGGGCCGGTACCCCTACTCATAACAATATCACATTATTATTTAATTTGTATTCCATATCACTTGCTCGCTCCCGTCATAATTCATTATTAGCATTCAATAATTTACAAATTCCGTTACAGTGAAATTTCAGATACCTACTACATTTTTACTTTTATTTGTATGAATGTCCCTTTAGTTGATGAATAAAATGTTAATTAACTTCTATCATTAATTTTAACAATGAGATATTAAAAATAATTTAATAAAGTAAAAACGCGGGCGCACTCAGTGTAACTGCGCCGCCCATTAGACACATTACAAGATTAGAGCGAGAGGGGATTATTCTATGATGCTCAACAAACACTCGACAGAGTAGGATAGCGTTATCGCTATTACTCTGACATTTAATACTATGCGCATGAAGATAATATACTTTCTTTTCTAACAAACATTGCTTGTTAAACTTCAAGTTGTAAATAAAATAAAATTGAGTTATAACTTATTTCATTAACCAAACATATTAATTCTAACATACCTACGGTACGATACCTACCATATAATGTAGAAAATAGGCGTAAGTACCTACGAACAAGGCAAAAAAATTGAAGAAAAATATACAATTAATGTAGAGAATTCCACTTATTAATTCGGATAACAATTTTTTTGTTATAAAATTAATTTATAATAACTTAACTTATATAAACTTAAATATTTTATGATACCAACCGTCATTTTCCTGTATAAGGTAGGTACATTTAATAATTCAATTTCTTTTAAGCAAAATGAGAAAAGAACTTCTTTTCAGCTACGTTTGCTTATACATTAGGCATACAAACCGTGAGATATTGCCCTTGTCGGCTCACATTATGACGACTGCCGACTCTAACATCCAAACCAGACACAATATAAGAATTCTTAGACTGCTTAAATATTGTTTTCCTCTGTGGTGATATAAAGCCCCACTGTTGACTCTACATGAGAAATCTTCAAACATAAGTATACCCTACGCGTTGTTGTGAAAATATGAAAAACATTTCACTCTTAAAAATAGATATAACTCTCCTGGTAAGGTAATAAGAGACATTATAAAACATCTTTCCGGTGTTTTTCAATTTGCCAAAATGGCTTCTGAGCACTTTGTTTTATGACGATCCCTTTTGAGTGTGCGCTTATTTTAAAACTTGCACTTGCATTAGATAGCGTCTGTAATGTAATTATATTTAACATAATTGTTAACTTCTTAATAAAAATGTAAAAAAAATGTTTAAAGTTAAAAAATATTGTAATGTAATTGGTGCAATTTTCATTTTGTTAATTGTGGGTAGGCTGTCTGTAACAACTATACCTTCAAGACATGTAACACCTCAGTCTCTCCCGTGACCATGGATGCTGTAAAGCATTCGAAACGTCGGGAACCAAAAATCAAAATAAATCCGCGAAATAATCCGAATAGATAGTTTTATTTAATAATGTCAAACATTCGCGTAAATCTAAGAAAGTATTATAAGAAAGTATTATTCTTAATAGGTATAACTACTAGTTATGTTAATTTAGAAATATATTTTGTTAAATATACCTAATCAAATACAAAGTTATTTCGAATAAACTTGTAGAACCAGTCAAAACACAATAAAACAAGCCGGAACTCATAATTCAGTATAAAGTCAACAAGACTATAAAAAATAGGAAACACCGAAAGAATAGATATCGTGGTGAGACACAAAGAAGTATTGTATAGAAAAATCATGTAAAGGACGGCGCCCGCTTTGAAAAATGTCAGAACATCAATAACATTTTGAAATGTACAAATATTTGTTCACCGTCCACACGTGGTGAGCCACACAGGACGCCATCTTGCATAATATGCAATATTGCTCTCGTTATAGTGCAAAAAGTACCTTATATACTGTATTACATGCTATAATTACGGCTAAATACACATTCAATCATAAATGCTACTTTTTATTATAAAATTGCTTTTAACATGATTTTTTAATTATTTAAGAGCTCACCTACTTACTACATTTTTGTTAGAAACAAGTTATCATTATCACACCTAAAGGACTCTACAATTTTCAGAGGACCTATAAACCATTCAGTGGATCCTACATAAATATTAAAGGAGACAAAAATAGTATTTAAATATACTACAAAAAGGAAATAACATTTAAATAATAATAATAATATACCATCCAGCAAGATAATTAGGTACCTACATTCAAATTAAATATATCTAAGCAGTTAACAGTAAAAGTAATATAAAAATTTTAACTATACAGAAATTATATTCAAAAGCATTTAACTCTTAAATAATATACGAATAAAACATTTAAAAACACTGGCAATATAAACACATGCAATAATTTAAAAAAAATATTGCGATACTCAAATATTTGAATAAAGAATAAGCGCAACATAAAAAGGCAGCATCAGCAGGCAACAAATCGCGCGCATTATACATGACAAATGTAATGCCCGGTGTCGGGTTGCGCCCACCCGCGCGACGGATTAGTTTCTACTTTCGTGCTACAGCTATTGGGAGAACGAATTTCTTGATCCGTCAAAAAAATCGATATTATAATAAATTGATTTATTTAATTAATAAAAAATATATGAGTGCATTTAACTTATGAAACTCGTGTTAAATCATCATAGCGCAATGACATAAGGCATTAGATGCTAACTCCACGGAAAGACTACAGTTGCTTGCTTTGGTCTGGTTAAAACATAACGCGAAAACACCCTATATAGTAAAGATATACATGAATGTCGCAAACTAGACGTACTTAGATTATCATATCACTCGGGTTTCATCACCAAACTTATAAAAATTTCATTATGTTAACCGAATAACAATTTTAAAATCACTTGAATATACATATTTTCTTAAAATATTCAAATTTAACATTTGCTTTTATATAATTTATCGTCTAACAAATGTATATGGTACAATGGAAACAAAGTGTCAGCTTACTTTCCGCTTGCTCCCCAAATAGGGCGCCCTCTACCCTTGACGCTTACCATGCCATCAATACGACTCCTTAAAATAATTCAATCGTTAAAACAAGTCTATTTTTGTAAGTACTAAAATAGATATAGAATAATTTAAAACGACCGTAAAGATTTAGTTGTTTTTAAATTTTAATACTAGGTCGGTACCTATATGAAAAATAGTCTAACTATAAGTGCTTAGCTAATTAATTATTAAAGCTGTAATAAATGACTTAGACAAGCACACGAGAAAATATGTGGATAAATTATACAGTGAAAGCTACTTCACGCGTAGCTACATTTATAAATACTGCTTGTTCTTTATGAAACGAACATTCATACAAAGTTAAGCCATTACCATGAGTCTCGTAGAGTGTGATTACTTATAAATTATAATATCACATTCTATTAATATTCTTATGAAAATATTTAATTAACTTATGTCTAATAAACATCTCTCTAATCATAATCATATTATAGAATCCATAAAGTTATAACGTAGCTCATTTATATTAATACACAAATGGCTAACAATTTCAAATATACGCAAGATTCAATCGATAACAACCGAAGCTCGATCAATCTGAGAAATGGCCGATAATACCTCATTACTGTAAACTAGTAGCGAAGGCCTCCACGGCAGCCATTGTTGCGTGGATAAGCTCATTATTTATGTACTATTAGGCACACAATCTGTGCTTAAGTTAACCATTTACATGAAAGTAACTACCGCCCACCTCTACGCCGCCATGAATTTCTAAATAGGCTACGTGTCTTTGTATAGTTAATAGTTGAAATAACCTTTCCTAAACACAAATTGACATAATAAATAGCTGAAAAAAAAGGTCTATATTTAAATATAAAATTATAACAAGCTAATTGAACTAAAAACAGGTGATATATGTGTTATAATACGAAAAAGGACATTCTACGAGCGAGAGCTCTCGCCAGAGGTGGTTGTGACTCTTATTATGCCAAGAAAGCTACTCAGGCAAGCATATTTTCTTTATTTGAATTGTAGCTTCTGCTTAATTAAAAAGAAAACATAAAAATAATAAAATACAATAATTGATTACAGTATGCCTTTCTAATTAGTAATATGTAATTGATATTATTATACCATTATTAATAAACCTGTTCAGCCATATAACTAAAGGTATAAAACGGAATGATTATTTTAAGAAAACATTAAGACATTGCATGTTGAGTAAATTGAAAGCAGGAAACGGAGGAAGGTATAATACTTACCTATTGATATTATTACATTTTTAATATTGTATCATGAGCGGTAATCGAATCAGCGAACATTATGCATTAAATACAACTGCATCTACTGCGCTAGATGGTTAGTTTAATAAATAATAACAACAGACTCTCTGAATCAAATGGTAGAGATGCTGCTTAACCATCACCATATTTCACAGTAAATATTAAAACCACATTAGCACAATAGATTTACTACAAGCACACTGGCATAACGTATTGAATAATTTTCAGTTAAGAGTATTTAAGCTTTTATCGAGGCACGGCCATAAATCGGTGCGCAGACGCATGTAATCCCCGCCCGCGCCCCGCCGCTAGCTATAAACAGAAGTCAACGTGTTGGACTTATAAATCCTGCTCTTAACTATTGTATCTCATGCCACAATAATGAAGTTAGCTCGTTCAGGAAGAATTATGCCACCATGTGGGTGGGCGACGCGGTTGGAATGAATCCTTAAAGATTATTGTGTATGAATACGGTGAGCCGATTTTTTGTACAAAGCGGTAGTTGCGTCGACACTCGAGGTTGCACAGCCGGTGAAAGGTCTCCTGAAAAAACAAAGGACAGCGACTAAGCCACACGTCTGGTAACAAAGTGTCGGGTTGCGAGTTCCGAGAGCTGGATTTTATTAAAATCTTTATGACCATCGTTCAACACGTCACGATCAACCAATATCTATAAAAACAGTAAATCATCATCACGAGTCGTTACCTCTGATTTACAATTACTAATATTATATTCTTGCCATAAATCAAAGAGAAAAATAGTTTCCAAGAGGTAAAGCCT